GTACTGCCATTATAGACATAACTTTGATTCATCTCTGGCTGATAACAAAATACGTTCTGATTTAAACACTAAAACAAGCACTTTCTGTAAAGCTCGAACAATATGTATTGTATTTTTGATTAGTAATATGCATTGCTAAGAACTTCATTTGGACAACTTTAAAGGCGATTTTCTCAGTATTTAGATTTTTTTTGCACCCTCAGATTCCAGATTTTCAAATCTGTTCAAGTTGTATCTCGGCCAAATATTGTCCTATCCTAACAATCCATACATCAATGGAAGCTTATTAATTCAGCTTTCAGATTATGTATAAATCTCAATTTAAAAAAATTGACCCTTATGACTGGTTTTGTGGTCCAGGCTCACATATCTAAAAAGAATGCTTACATGTCAGAAGAGCTTTTTTTTTTTTTGCAAATATTTAGTAATATTTGCTATTTATGTGAACATTATGTGAACAAGATATTTTTAAATCAGATTTTTTTTTTAAAGTCGGATTCATTTAAAATGTTTGCATGATTATTATTTTTTTCCAGTTTATCATACTATACCACATTATATGATAAACACCATATTATAATATTATGTATTAAATACTTAATATACATGTAAATTACATATTAATAATACAATAATACTTTTTGGATATCTTAAGAAGAATCAATCAATATGAGCTGCATTGTTATTTTAGTATCCTTAATAAACTATAACAGTTTTTGTTAATATTTTAAATGGTATTTTATATTTTCTGTTTTCATTTTAGTAAAAGTTTTAGTAATTGGGGTTTGTTTTCATAATTTTTATTACTTTTTTATTTTAAACATGTACTTCAAAATAAACTAACCGAAAATGAGAATTGTTGCCTTGGCAAGTAGCTGAAATAAAACTGAAATGAAATAAAAAGTTGAAGTTTTCTTTCTTTCTTTTTATTTAAAGTAATGAATTTTGTATGGTTTTAGTTTCAGTTAATGATAATAACCCTGATGATCTGTTAAATGCTCAGAGGCGGACAAAGTACTCAACTCCATTACTTGAGTGAAAGTACAGATACTGCTTGTCAAATATTACTCCATTACAAGTAAAAGTTGTAAAGACAGATTTTTTCTTAAGTAAAAGTACAGAAGTACTTGCTTTTAAAAGTACTTAAGTACCAAACGTAAATTTCCTTTTTTTATGTCAATGCACTGTTTTATTGTTGTACGTAATACTTGCAATACTTCTGAAGCAACGTACAATACATTACACCTGCTGAATACACGGACTAGCTTGTAGTATCTTTGGAATAAAGAGCTTTTAGAATGTTAAAAACCTATGGGGAAAAAA